TATCCATTATTACAAATTTTCAATAAACATATAGCTGTTTCAACTGAAAAAAATTGTAAAATTAGTTTTTATTCGAGTAGCGATCTCTGTTCTAGATGTATCAGTTATCAACACAGAAATGATAGACATCCAGTGATCGACGTCCTTTATTTGTTTGCGTATCTATTTATTAACTCGATTATGCCTATGACGATTACTGGTCCGTAGAATGTTTAGATAATAACAATTACGGATCTAATTTTTTTATTTAGATTTTGGATTATTATTCGATTTACAAGAATTTTTTTCGGCCCACCTAATCCCGGTAATCGACAGATATGACGAGTACTCGAACGACTACGTGCTTCGGTGAACCAGTGCTTGTCACGTAAAAAAAACTATGAAATTTGTATGAAACAATAATTTGTGATGGTATGTAAAACTGCGATCTCGATTTATAACTCGAAGCTCAATTTATCTCATGCAAATTGTCAATACTCCAAAATCACACACGAGATGTCAAACAGTGTTTTTTAACCTTACAATGAAGCATTTGATCGAAATTATAGGCTCGGTTGCTGCACATATTCGATTTAATCAATAGTGAATTCATATATCTACGAGTTTCATAATGTAACACAATTGTAAATATTTCCTTGGGACCAATAAAAATATCAGCAAACCTCACAATCGACAGAAAGCACTAAAGTACGTCTTTAATACGTGAACTTGACGATTATTGGTACCCTAACGATTTCTGGGCTAACTACCTTATATTGTACTCGTTTTTTCCATTAAATTCAGCAACGGCGTGACGATTTATAGGAAATTCAGACAGTTTACTGTCGAGACTTTCGGCAGGCGGAAATAGCGGATGGGTGAGCGGAAACTGAAACAAATAATGAATGAAGTACCGTCTTTCAACGTCAAAAAAAAAAAGCGCATTTCTTCCGGCAGTGCAAATGAGCTGCGGACCTCGGCCGAAGTGCAATTATCTCGGGCGAAGTGCATGAATTCATCTCTTCTCCATGCTCGATGAATGCGCGCGCCGGCTACTCCGGAAAGATAAATATTCAGATATGCATAACAGGAAGAAGGCAAGGCGAATGCGCGCCGCAGTCGCGATTTGTACGACCCGCCGACTTATTTCTTTCGTCTAGGATTCAGCCAGCCCATCGCCCGTTAGAAGAACATTAATTTCGGGAAAAGTCACCCGTCCTCCAGTGCCAAATGCGCCGGGTTGCATTTGCAGGGATGTAATTATACGAGCATGCGTCAAGGGAAAGAACGGTAACAGCGGTCTGTTCTTCAAAGAGTCTAACGCACGTTAAGCAGAAAATTTAATACGACAGGAGCTATTTATTAAATAATGTTCTCCTCCTTAAACGTTGCATCCCGTTAAACGGGAAAATTTTCATTTTCCTGATAAAACGAATCCTTTGCCATGCGCAGGGCTTACAAAAATTTGCCCGGTTTTGTCGAGTCGTTTTATCGAAATTTATTCTGAATTATTCATTGGATTCGCCAATCTTATATACCCATCTACGTCTATGTGTCTGTCTGTGATAATCACGATCCGCTTTCTCCGCTTTTACGAGCGCGCGCTAAACGGTAATGCAAAATTCATTTAATTCGCACATTCGACTAATTATACTTTGCCTATTCTCTGCCGCCACGAGATTCGCCAGCCGAATTCGCCTTTGCGGTCCACGTTACGCGGATGTATTAATAACTCACCATTGTTCCATCGCGGCACGAAATCGCTGACGAATTCCGTTGAATTTCAAAATTCTCGATTAATTACACAGTTAATTACACAGTCCCATGTCGCTCGCGCAACATTTTCGACGAGTCCCTCGCCACTCTCGCCGCGGAACTTGTTGCGGAGTCGACACGTCGCGTTCTCATTCGATCTGACACACAAAGAGACTGAAAATGTGAAAATTATTAGACAAAGAAAATTTCTTTAAAATCTCCTATCTTTAAAAATATTTTATAGCTTTTTAGAATGTCATTCAGACCAAAATTATTCTATTCAGAGAAATACATTGATGACAGTTCTTTCCAATTTACATTTATATAGTTTGATTAATTAACGATTTGAATTTTTTACTTATATACGTATATTAAGAGAAGAATTAAATCTTTTTATAAATTAATTTTGCATTATAAATAATTGGCCTGTTTTTTATTGCAAATTTTGTATTAAACAACTGGTGATTTAAAATGATGTTAAGAAGGAGGATGCTTTAGGGATGCACTGGATATTCAGAAAGTATCCGGTATTATCCGGCACTTTTTTACTATCCAACCGAATAGCCGAATATCACTATTATCCGGGGAGGTATCTTATGTATCTTATACATTGTCGCAAAATTACAATCTTTTTCCCTATAAGCTTTTTTTTAAAAGGCATTTTCTCGGAATCCGGTCGAATATCCGGAAAATGTCGGATATCCGATTCGAAAAAATTATCTAAAGGATATCCGATCGAATACCGGATATCCGATGTTACATTTTGCCTGGATATTCAATATCCGGTATTCTGTAATTTTACGATCCAGTATATCCTTATTGAAAAGAGACTGATTTCTGCCCAAAAAGGTGTAAGCAAAATGGCATTTTTTATAGATTTTGAATACGATAATGTTAATAAGAAATTCGGAAACGATAGGGATCAAATATTCTTTTGGGCAAAAGTCAGTTCTTTTTTAATATCTTCCAAAAAAGGGCAAATTTTTGGTCAAAAAGATATAAATAAAAGAAAATAGTGTTTTTTTTTTTGTAAATTTTGATCTTCTGAATATGACAAAATTATTAAAAAGTTCGTGGCATTCAAGATATTCCCTATCGGTCCCGAACTTTTTATTAACATTATTGTATTCAGGAGATCAACATTTATTTAAAAAAAAACACTATTCGGTTTACTTACTCCTTTTTGAGCAGAAATCAGCCTCTTTTTAACATCTTCTTTTTATCGCGATAAGATTGTGATAAACTAGTTCTCGAGATAATTGCTCGATTATCAATATCAAGCCATTTCCGATAGTATGTGCATTATGTGGGGCATATGCAAATACGATCACCATTTAAAACGTCCGCATAAAACCAAATAACGAATCCGATCGTGCGGCAAGAGACAAATGAACGCGGTTAATAGAAACGTACTATGGGATGATTGTTCCAAAAATGCACGTAACAGCTCGTGAATTCGCACGATGCATATTAATCGACAGTAATCGTGGGGTGACGGGAAATGAGGAGGGCCATAATACGGCTTGATTAGATTTTTCGAGTAATGCATTACTTACGCACTTTAAATTTATGTAGCGTTGCGAATGACCGCAAACTGTTTGCGCAATTTGTCAAATTAGATTTCGATTAAGTGAGTTTCGAGAAGTCCAACTTTGAATTTAAAAAATTAAAAAGTGCGATATAAAAGTTGTCAAATATAAAAATTGTACAAATAAAACGTCGCTTGGACGACAGATGGACATTTTGAATATATTTGAAATTAATTTTCTCGAAACTTTTCTAATTGTTTACCTTTATTTATTTATTTGGTTACTTCTAGAATATGCCAGACTCAAGATTGTGTCTTTTGTTCGAAAAGTAGCGTTACTGGGATAATAAAAAGTACTCACGTTTGCCGTTCGTCAGTCCAAGAAAAAGAAGAAAGACGCAAACCGCTCTCGCGACGCTCGTTCCAATTCCAGTACTGTTCGCCAAGAAATCAATCGAGGGTGCGAATGCCCCGACGCACGAGAAACACGTTGCCATTTCCTCTATACCGTTGCTGTATTACACTGACCTCAATTCTGCAAATCCGCCGAGGCTCCCGACGTTCCGACATAGAATTACGTCAAACTTGAGACTGTTTCACCTCGAAATATCTACCCCATTCCGCGGTGAGGGTTCTTTAACAATTTATACCTAGAGATTTGCTATCTACCCATACAAATGACCTAGAAACGCATTATGATACCATTTACTACCGCACGGTGAAATGTACGATTTTACAACACGTAGACAAAAGCTAGAAACACATTTTTTAGTCTGTATTACAAGCAGATAGAATTGTGAATTAATATCAGGACAAATAGATACATTTTATATATTTTTGACAGGTGAGATTCAGAAAGATAAACACAACCAGAAGAAAGTGAAAAATTAAAATCTGATATAAATTTGAAATGTAATTTATTATTGTACTCGGAAATTTATAATATTCCGTAGTAGATAAAATTTAACATTTTAAAATGTATCATGAACAAATAAAATTATAATTCCGACAGCAGAATTTAATGGAATATCTAAAAATTCGTAAAATGTTAAAATTTTTAAATATATACCTTTCAAAAGCTTGAACGAACAATATGTATAAAGAACTGTTAAAATAAATATTCGAAAAAGTAATCGAGTCGAATAATGTACTATGCAACCTCACACATTTATAACAATTTCCACTTTATAAATTCCCTTATAACTGACAGTTTATTTTTAGGATATGGCTCACGCTATTCACGGTTGTTATTACAACCGCGAAAAATTAAATTCCTATATCTCGAGCACGTCTGCATTACATCCTCCTTGCTTCTCCGTACATTCCGTTGAGTTCCACCGAGATCGTCAGATCGCTGAAAATAAAGGAGAAGTATTTCACAAGCACTTATTTCTGTTTCAGGTGAGCATCCGGCTGCGATGCAGCATGGAAACACGGCAGCCGGATCGCCCAACTCGAAAACGGTCCTGGTGATGCTTGCCTTCCTTCTAGGCCAGCTGAGATAATGTGCGTGTGCACGAAGGTCGCCCGAGACTCGTAAAATTGATGGACGTATCGCAACATGGTCGCCCACACGTCCTAAACGTTAACCCTTCCGCACAGATCAATCTGAATTAGGTCTTAATTAGTTTCATCGTAGCGGCCGAAAGATTAAATGATTTGCAACATTATATAATAGTCATAATGGTACAATTACAAAGCAAGAATTTACAAGTTAATGAGAGGTTATTTATAAAAGTTTTTGATTAATACCCTCCCCAGCTGTGCGAATTTTATGGCTTTTAGGATTAATTGATTTTTTGAAAAAAATAATATTTCATAATCACTGCAATGTCATATACTATTCTCCATTATTGACACGATTGTTTTCCACCGCGTTTATCATTTTATTTTATCGGAATAAGTTTTTTGAATTCGTCGAAATCGCGCATAAAATGGTAGAAATGCAGCGATTGTAAATCATAATTTTTTTGTTTCCAACTCCAATTTCCATTTATCTCGAGACGGGAATTTTAATCTAAAAATATAAGCGCCGTTATGTTATTTTAATTGCGTGTCGTAATTTAAATACTCTCGTTGTGTAGCGGTTATCTCGCTTCTCTTAATCTAACGCGAAAATCCCCATCCCGTTTATCTTAAACTTAACTGTGGGTTTGGCCGCTGGGGTGAGAAATACAAAGATAATCTCTAAGAGACAGCTCTTACGTAATAAAAGGGAAAGCTTTGTGCCTAAGGGTTAAGCGGAGTGTGAGGCAGTCGTATTACACGGTGTCTTAGAAGCATGAATTCCACGACGAATTTCTGAGTCGACTTTTCCCAGCCGCGAAAGAATGAATCCAGAAAGAATGGTCTTTTCATACATTTGTTATAATAATACAGCGACAGTATTTACAGGTGAGCTGTACACGTATAAAATGTTAAATAGCTGCGTAATGATAAACCAGCGAATCGTATCTCCATCTCTCGAAAATATTCCCCAGTAATTGGCAGTGTTGCACAAATGATATTTTTACCATCAACTTGCGTCCAAAATTAATAATTATAGCATCGTGTGTAACAAATATTCTTTTGAATAACAAGCAGGTTTATTTATTTTTTTTTTTTTTATTAACGATATATATTATGCGTTTCGACAAATATCATTGTTTTAACGAAATTATTTTTTCAATATTTTTTCATTTAAAATATTTTAATTATTTTTTTTTTACAATCTATAACACGTCCATCAGGTGAAATAATACCAATCACAACACAATATTGCTAGATTTAATTCCAATTTGTTTCTAACAATCGTAAACACCTAAAGGAAGGCAAACCCATTGACGTAATCCAACACAGTTATTTTCGCATAATAAGCTTCTTTTGCACTCTATATCCATAGGTAAGCGAAATAAAGCGAAGAGTAATGATAAAAATTTCCTATTCGTGAATACCTGATTAGCCAGAAGTTCGTTTGATTTAGCTCAGAAATTAGTTTGTGCTTCGTGACTTAGCATCGGTACGATTTATTGTTGAAAATAATACGGCACGCGTTGAGCAACGATTTGTACGATCACGACGGAGCAGTCGAGAACTCTTATCATATCCACGAATGACGCAAAATGAACGTTATCAATATTAAAGAATTTTAGCAGCGACATGAGAGATCCGGAGTTCTTAATTTCCTAATTAAGAATGCTTCGTACGGAGATGGATCAAAAGTGTCGCATTGTGTCGCTGCTGAAATTTTTAGGAATAATTGCACCGTGATGTCTAACGCGATGCAAACGTAAGGGAATTAATGATAACGCGCAGTGAGTGTTGACGCAGAGGAGACGTAATTGAGCGCGGGTGTCGCTAGAAAGAAGAGGGATTGCGAGCAAATAAAACAGGACTAAGCCCCGCGCCCTTTCCCGACCATAGTGAGGAAAGTGTTAAGTGTAAAATAAATGTGTCACGAGCAAGTTTAACCGAAAGAGCGATGTAATAAAACGGGTGGACCGACCTCCACCGGCAGCGAAGTACTTTCTACTTATGGCATAAGTGTTAAATGAAAATTTACAGGAAAGACACAGATGACACGCGTACACACACATACACACACGTACAGATAATAGTAGAGAAATGTATGTAAACCACGCGACTTTACGGCTCGTATGATTTACACCCACGACTAGCCCGAAATGAAAGAAAAAAGAAAAAAAACTGTGTTTCCCCACCCGCTCACACCCTTCTCACTGTCTTGTTTTCACACGGCTCTCTTGCGAGAAAGCGCATTCTTGTACATAATGTTTTACTCTTGTAAATAAATTACCCACACAACGCTCATCGATTCATTCTCGCACCGCCTGTCCGAACAGCGGTTTCCTCACTAATCAGGTATATTAAGAAACGTCCGATCTTGATGAGAAAGAAAGGAAAAGAAAGAAGAAGAAAGGAAGAGAATTAATCTTGCTGGTCCGTCCTAATTTATTATATTTTGGGTCAATATGATTAAAAAAAAAATGTTCACAGAAAAAGATCGTATATTAACAGACGAAGTCATCAAATATATCAGAGATAAAAGTTTTTTAATAAAACATTAGTAAGAGAATAAATTACATTTTGTGCGACGGATGGATTCAAACAGACCAGCGAGGTTAATATATTTCTAATAGAAGACTGATTTTATTTCTTCATTATTTTATTATTGTCAGAATTACGGCGTATAACAGTAAATATAGAAATTTAGACTAAATGGACGATGTAAGTCTTTGTCTATCTCTTGGATGGTTGGCAATTCGGAGCTAATGGCAACGGCTGCGAGAAGATGGCCCGCGAAGATCGATAGCCATGACCCCGATGGCGCTCCCGAACTTTTCTCGTCGGGGATATTTAAGAATCCCCGGTTTCGGCTCATGAAGTCTCTCACTTGCAGACCATCCTCACAAAATAACGATGGCGCCCGATTAATTTCCTTTAGCTGCTCAATATCTCCGAAACGACACCGAGCGACGAGCTCCATTTGACCCTATTAGTTGAATCGTTTATTCTGAGAATAAAAGGTAAGTGAATTTTGTTTCATAATTTCATGAATAAAAATATAAGTAATCAAGACTAGCAGCTTTATTAATACTTTAATACTGGAAACAGTAGAAACTTTCTAAGGGACACACACACACAAAAGTCAACACAAGAAAGATCAAAATGATTTTAGTTTGATTCTTAACAGTCAATAAACAGTCAAATTTTTTAACCAAAAATCATCATTTTGACTTTCATAGTCATCTTGATATTCTCTTGAGTTACAAAACCGGAAACTTGCATTTCAATTTTAATGGGAGATGGCTCCATAGATTTTAAATTTATTTCCGCGATATCCACACCATCGAAAATAGAATGATTCTAACGTCGTTAAAAACAAAACTTCTTTAATGGCTCCAAACTTACTCCAGTCAGTTCGAAGTTTCTTTGTTGAACGACGTGTACATATATCTTAAGATCAGGTGCAGCCCATAGAATCGACATGCAGAAATCGATAATGTGCTACGAGACAATCAGATCGAAGGGATCTAATGAATATTTATGCACATCCATCGCCTTGCAAAGCCACGACAATCCGTCGATGATATACCGTGAATTTTTTAAGAACGTCGTGTCTCTCACGCTACACGCCAACCCAATATAGACGACTCGTCGCATTCATGATAGCGCAAATGGAACATGTATTACACATGAATGCAAAGGGAAGGAAAATTAAAGGCGCATTTAGGTGAAAAGCGAGTATATTCCGCTGATGGAAAAAAAAAGTGTATCTGGTATTCAAACCGCTATTTCCAATACTGGACCGATGTAACGTTCTTCGTAAAAAAAATAACCGAGATATTCTGTTGCCACTATTGAATTAACTTACTAACTTTATTCTTGCTAGTAGCTTTCAGTCATTTATAATATGAAACGAAATTCCTCGATATTGAAGCACTCTCGTGGTGTTTTATACTGCTTTTTATCTGTACGAAAGTATACGTTGTATTTGTAAAACTTGTACAATTTTATGATTTACTACTCAAGCAGAATAAAAATCAAATTTTAAATAAGAAAAATCGTATATTCAGTCGAAACCAATCTTACAAGGGGAGACTCATATATGTATTTTACGGATTTTGATCAGCTTTTGCATGGTTATATTCTGAGGTACCAAAAAATAGTCCCTATAAAGCAGTAAATTGCATCTCTGCGTATTTTTCGAGAAAATCGTGATTTCAGGTCACGATCGCTTTCAAACCTGAGGAAATCGATAGATATATAAAATTTAAAAAACAAGTTATTTTTTTACATATTCATATTTTTTTACATATATTAGATTTGAAAATTGATAATTTTTGAGAAAATTAGCATTCTTTGAACCGAAGTTAGCATTCTTTTCAACCGAAGCTTTAGAACACCTCGCGAAATGTTGCTATTCATAAAGCGGTAAGTATCGACGCAGATGGTACAGAATTACGGATCCTATACTCGGATTTATATGCTTATACATTCGTATCCGCCGGAAATGTATTTTTCTAATTTTAAATAATTTCAAATTTCGTTTCCGTTTAAACGAAGAGGAAAGAGATTTGAAAGCGATCATGTCGTTGTGACCTAAAATCGATTTTCTCGAAAAATATGTAGAGGTGCAATTTACTGCTTTACAAGGATTATTTTTCAGTGCTCCAGAATAACCACGCGAAAACTAATCAAAATCCGTAAAATACATATGTGAGGTTCTCCTTGTTAGTGCTTAAATATATTTCTTGTGTGAATTTATATACATTCTGATTCTACATATCGCGCGCTGAAATATTTTCCAAATTTAAAACGCATTTATGAGCAGAACCAGAATAGTAACATCACTTATTAAATTGTAACACTTATATTAAGATCCGCTTAGACCGAATATATTCTTTTTATTTAAAATTGAATTTATTCATATCGATCTAACAATTGTTTCATGGAATACAAATCATCATAACATCAAAATGATACGCTAAAATGATTCTAAAATTATTACTAAAAGTCACTTTTAAATCAATGGCTGCATTCAACAGAGAAAGCAGCTTTGTAACTGTTATAAAATTCTCTGATATGATTGGTCTTGCCTTTAGTTCCTCACTGGATCTAGATATATAAACCAATCATAACTGAAGAATTTTAGAATAGTTGCAAAGCGCTCATTAACGATTCATTTTAACATTATTCATCTTGATGTTACGACGATTGTGACTTGTTCCGCTTGAATATTATTTCAACGATGCGAGTTAATTTTTACAATCACAAATAAATAGATTACTTGACAATTACGCGTATGATTTTTCAAAACGTTCCTTTGTCTTTTCTTTTTCTGATATAGATAGCGTACTTTTGCCGTTTTGCTTTCTAATTAAATTGAGTTTTGCTCTGTTGAACTTAATTAGAATTGCTCAACCACGCACATTTGACTTTCCCCTAACAAAATACACCACGTGTAAATATATATACATGAACATATAGTTAACCGTTGATGTTTCCGGTCTCTCGCATACTAAAGAACGAACTGCTAACTATGTGCAAAACTTTGATTAGGAGCGAGCGTGACTACTTGAAACGGCAAGCGAATCTGGCACTGTGAAAATACGAAATGGCAGAGAATATCCGATGATACTTTTGTCGAAACAAATGTTATATAAATTCAGAAGTTTGTATTAATAATTTTATATATTTAAGAAACATCACATAAAGAAATAGCAATACCATATATTACTTATATGGTAGATACAGAGCCCGCCAAAAGTCCCGGGTCACCTGAATAATTTCTGAATGGTTCGAGATATTGGATTGAAATTTACAGGGATACAATGGAATCGTAAAATCTATCATTGAACCTCAAAAACACCAATTCTTAACATTCCCAGGAAGAGGAGCGAGAAGGGGGCCTAATAAGGCTCGTTTGAAAAGGCTTTTCGAGACAAGAACAGCGCGAACTGATC